CAGATCAGTACCCTTGCCTAGAGCTGTCATTCGTGTTCAGAGTTGCCAGAATGGAAACAACTCAGGGACTAAGAACAGGGTGACTCGGGAAACTCACATACAGAGAAGACCTGAAGAGAGTGGGAAAGCTTGATTGGCATGGATGCCATGGCAACAACCAGTAAGTAAGTCTTCAAGTCACAGTAAAACTAATACTAATGGAGTGATATGGTCAGTTGGAACGACCCTCCAAAGAATCCATGTTTACACAACGATGGAAGGCAGTGATGCGGAAATTACATTGGAAAGTCAATCCCATCCCAATCATAATCCATGGGTAGAAAGAAAAGCAGAAGGCAGATAGAAGGATCTCCACGTCTTTGAGACAGTTAACACATGAGTTTAGAAGTTATCAGATTATCATTTCTGAATCCTGGAGAGTAGATGGAACAGCTGGAAGTCTCTTCTGTCTCGGAGAATCAATAAATACACAGGGAAGAAAGAATGAAAAAAGGAAGGAAGGAAGGAAGGAAGGAAGGAAGGAAGGAAGAAAGGAAGGAAGGAAGGGAAAGACAAAACCCAAATGTTGGCGGAGGATGCTAATTCGTTTCCTGGCCACCTGGACCCGAAAAAACACACAGGAGCTATATTAATTACAACACTATTTGGCCTACTAGCTCAGGCTTCTTATTAACTCTTACATCTTAAATTAACTCATTTCTATTAATCTATGTAATGCCACGAGGCTGTGGCTCACCAGAAAGATTCTGGGTCCTTCTCTTTCTGCAGTGTCATGATGTTTCCTTGACTCTGCCTCTATCTTTCTATATCTTTTTCTATATCTCTTCAGATTTCCCACCTGACTTTAGTCTGCTAAGCCACTGGCTGAAACAGTTTTATTCATTAACCAATGGTAATAAAACATATTCACAGCATACAGAGGAAAATCCCACAACACACAAACCTTAGCAGTACTTACTAGAAATTGAATTGCTTGCTACTTGACCTGCCCAAAACCAGAAGTATGATCCCCACGAAAGTTTAGACTGAAAAATAGAAAGAAATCAAATTAGGATAATTAATAACAAGTGTAACATGAGGGCCGGCTTGTTGGGGTTTCTGTCCCACCCAGTACCCCACAGCTGGCAAACACCAAAGAAAATCACACACAGGACTCCATAAGATTATAAACTGATTGGCCCATTAGCTCAGGCTTCTTGTTAACTCTTATAGCTTATATTAACCCATTATTCTGATCTATATTAGCCATATGGCTTAGTACCTTTTTCAGCTGTCAGCTCACATGTTTCTTCTTCAGTGATCTGGGCAGGAATAGTGGAGGGAGCTTCCTCCTTCCTAGCCTTCTCCTGTTCTCATCACCCCGCCTATACTTCCTGTCTGGTTGACCCGCCTATACTTCCTGCCTGGCCAATCAGCGTTTTATTAAAATATATGATTGACAGAATACAGACAATTCTCCCACACCAAACAAGTGGGCAAGGCCTATGCTGCCAAGTCTGGCAACCTGAGTTCAGTCCCCAGGCCCCATGTCGTGGAAGGAAAGAACTGGCTCCTACATGTTGTCCATTGGCCCCCACACACAATCACATGAGTGTTCTCAACCTCAACAAATAATGACTATGATAAAAAATTTAAAGATAATTAATATCAGGAACAGCGATTGGCAATTCTTTCATAGAGATTTCAAAATGTACTATAAATGTTTAATTTTCTCTATTACCAATGAGAAAACTAACAAACCAATGGCTGTCTGCTGCCTGTATGTGATCTAAAAAGCTATCAAGAAGACCAAAAGCTTAATGTAAAGCCATATTTTCCATATAATTTATCTGGATCAATCACTCATTTATTCCCCTTCTCCCATCAATACTAACACGATGAACTTACGGAGTCATATGCTGAGTTCTGTTCCTCTAGCTCTTCCTCTTCCTCTGTGATGTATTCTTCCATGGTGTCTCCGTTAGCAAAGTGGATAACCCTTTTGGGAGTAGTGCTCTTACGAGGTCCACTCATTTCTGATTCTGACTGTTGGAGGTGGTCTTCCTCCACAAGGGGCTGTCCCGGTTACTTGGAAACAGAATGCCCCAGGACAAGCTGCCCAGGGCAGGGATTACTGTAGCTGGGAGGTTTCTAGCTGTCTTCAATCAAGGTCAGGACAGGGGTCAGAGGCAAGCCTATCAGGCAATCTTGACTCCTCACATCCGAGAGGAATGTTCAGTCTGTATCAGAATTAAAGAGATTAATTTAGTAAAGTGTGGTTATTGGCTGTTTGGCAAAAGGTTTCAGCCTGGCTGCCAGATCTTTTAATCACTGTGAAAGCCACAACTGCTGGGAGGAGTAAACCATCGACCATCAAAGTTTCTCAGTTTGCACTGAGAGGTGACATAGGGAGCATTTATGAGCACAGATTGCACAGACAGGAGAAAATATTTGCAAAGCCTATTGCAGCAAAGAAGCACGTTCAGAATATGTAAAATATTACTATAATTCAATAGGTAAGACATAATTCCCACATGAGTAAAAGATTTTAGCAGGCTACCAGAGATGAGTTACAGATAGCAAAGACACACACGAAAGGATGGTCATGCCCTTGATCATTAGAGCCCTGCATATTGAAGCCTAATAAGATGTCAACATGTGCCCACTAGAGTGACTAAGATTTAATGTGACCAACAATACCACAGATTGGGCATGCGTGTGAGGCAACTGGAGCACTCATACACTGCTAGTGAAGAGTTGTTTAGATCTGGAACATTCGCCAAAGGCCCAGGTGTTTCAGGAGTGGTCCCTTGCCCGTGATGCTACTAGAAAATGGTAGGATATTTAGGAGGTGGGGTCTGGCAGAGGAACTGAGGTCATGTTGGAACATGGTTCAGGAATGGATTGTGCCAGGAAAATTCTGAGTGCTTGTGATGAAACTCCAAGAAAACAAGACAAGAGACTTGTGACCTCCAGTTTCTTTAAATATGGATTTGTTCTGGGAATGTATTTTCATGCTCCTCCCAGCTGTAGTGGGTAGGAGTCAATTTACTTCAGATTATTCACTACAACTGGCTATTGTTATTTGTTTATAAGCCTCTATGGAAAAAAAACATGTTTTGCCATGTGCAGCTTGCCTGCCATGTGTGGCTTGCCAGCCACCTGTGTCTTGTTTTTGTGAAGGTACACTTTACTCGTGTGCCCCTTCTTAACCCTCAGAGTATAAACTGTCTGATGCTCTGAATAAAGCTGGCTACTGCATGAGACTTTAATCCACCTTGTTTATTGGTTCTATTCTCCCAGGTCCCACCGCCTCTAGCGTGGTGATAAGGTCATTCAGGGTGCACTGTTGAAGGGATTAGAGCCCTTTCCTCTTTCTTTGTTTCTGCTTGACTACCATATGACTAGGCTTCCTCTGCCATGTTCTCACCATGTTGTGCTGTGCCACCAAAAGCCCAAGTGACCACAGACTGAAATCTCTCAATCAATGAACCAAAATAAGTCTCTTGAGTCACTTTAGAGAACCATTTGGCAATTTCTTAAACATTAGACATACATTTACCATTTACTCTTTTAATTCTTTCTTTTGATAACTACCCCCACAAAAAGAAAAAAATCTTTTTAACATATGTATGTGAATATTCATATCACCTCGATTTGTGAGAGTTCCAAACTAAAAGCAAATCATAAGATGGACAAGCCAAAGGTGGTTTATCTAGTCAATGAAATGCTACTCAATAATCCAGAGTGATAAATAACTAACACTTGCAATACAGTGACGGCCTCTCAAGAGCATTATGTCAAGCAAGAGAAGCCAGTCGTTCCACAGCATGATTCCATTTATGTTTAGGGGAAACATCATATAGATGTGAAAACAGCTCAGTGTTTGCTAGGAATGAGGGTTAGGGAAGAGAAAGAGAAACAACAAGGGGACCAAAGGGAACTTCCTAGATAAAAATGTCCAAATAGATGTCATACTGTAAAAGGGGCCACCTGACTCCACACATTTATAACAATCAAATTGACACGGAAGTTAGTTAACTTTATTTATTTCATTTCTTAAACGTTTATTTATTTGTGTGTGTATGGGGGGGGGTTATATCATAGCATTGAGTGTGGAGGTCAGAAGTTTAAGGAGTTGGTGCTCCTTCCACATTGAAGCTCCCAGGGCTTGAGCTCAGGTAGTCAGGTTTGGCCATCAACACTACTTGCTGAACCATCTTACTGCCTCTAATTTTGTTATATTTAAAGTACATCTCGATATTTAATTTTTTATTACTTAATAAACCCCTGTCATAATATGCTCATCTATTAAATAATAATACAGAATGATATAGTACATTATAAAGACATAAAAAGGTAGAACAATTCTTAGATAGAAAATTGTGTTTAATAAAAACTATTATTAAGTATCTCTCTTTAGCTTAGTAGTGTATACAGCAGGCACCAATACTGTAAGCACACTTATTTTTTAAAAAAATAACATTCAATATAATTTTAAAATTATATCAGCAAGTAGGGCAGACTTAGTTGCTTTGGAATAATTCTCCTTTTTATTCCAAACACACAGACAGAAATCCTGGATAAAATTAACAAACAAAAACGTTAGCTTATAGCTGCTCTAAGAAGGGTGTGAAGAGGAGATGGAGAGGGAAGTGGAAGAAGAAAATAGAAAGGCAGGGAGGCAGGCAGGCAGGCAGGCAGGAAGGAAGGAAGGAAGGAAGGAAGGAAGGCAGGGAAATAGGAAGGAAGGAAGAGAGGGAAGGAGGGAGGGAGGGAGGAGGGAGGGAGGGGCAGGCTGAGGTATCAGAATCAGAGGAAATGATGAGCTGGAGCCCAGGTAGCTCCTGGGAGTTTCCAAGTCAGATGCAGGCCTTGAGGCTGGAATGCAACTAGAAATACTGTGGAGAGCCCAAGTCATGGACTCTGTGAGAATGAGGAGCTAAAGTGAGCTACACACAAAAGACTAAGATAATAAAATACTATCATATCTCTAACTTATGGACTAAAGAAACTCTCCCATGGCCTGAAGAAATAGCAGAGGAATTTACCGTATTGTGGCAATACTCTCCTGGAAAACAACTGGAATGCAGGCCAATAACAAATGCTGTTAGGCAGCCGGTTCAGGGTCATTATGTGCAAGATGCACTATGACAAAGCCAAGGAATCGAAAACCAGTCTAAGCCTCAGAACTCTGCCAAGTGGAAAGACAAACTTGCCTCAGAGTTTTGCGTCATCAAGACAGGGCATCCTGAATCTCTGCTAAAACGACCTCTGATGAAGATGTACTTGCAGAAACTTAAGAGACCATGTGAAGAAACAAAGTGTCACGATGAAAGGGCACCCAAATCTGTGTTCGCCAGCTTTCTGTTGCTGTCACAAACGATTCGGGATAATCAGCTTACAAAGAGAAAAGGCTTAGCCCCATTCAGTGTTTCAAAAGAAGAAGCTGCTTGCTTCATGGTGTTCAACAAGCAAAACGAGAGGGAGTAAAAAGGGTTAACGCGTGTTCCCAGTGGCCAAGCGTCCTTCCACTGGGCCCTACTTCTTAAGGCTCTACCACACACCTCTCACATTTTTAGCAAATAGACCTTTGGGTGGCATTCAAGATCTATAACAGACCTGATCCAAGAATTAAGAATAATAAAATAAATGGTGTGATGGCTATTCTTGGTTGTCAACTTGACTATATCTGGAACAACCCAGAATGGAGGGCAACTTGTGAGAGCTTTTTGCTTAATTTGAAGTAGAAAGATCCATTCCTAATCTGGATTTTTGAGGTAGGAAGACACACCTTTAATCCAGATCTAATCTGGGCCACACCTTCTCCTGGAATCCTATATAAGAACATAGAAGAAGGAAGCTTTTGCGTTTTGCCTACTTGCTCTTGCCCTGCTAGCAAGTCTATTCCTTCACTGGCATTAGAGCCTACTTCTTCTGGATTCTGGCTTACACTGAACACCGGCTGAGACACCCAGCCTCGTGGACTGAACAACCGCTGGATTCTTGACCCTTGATTCACAGCCAGGCATGTGGGATTAGCTAGAGAGCAACCTATAAGTCATTCTAATAAATCCTCCACTCCATATAGAGAAATGAAATTCTGTAACCTCTGCTTCTCTAGAGAACCCTGACTAATGCAAACTTTAAAGTGAGTCTTTCTGTGTCTGCTGTGTTCAGAAAGCCAAAGGAAAACGCAACACCCACAGAACAGGTCAACTTGAAAAGGGACTAGACAGAAATTCTAGAAATGAAGTATACAATCAACACGGGGAAGCTCTTCCAGAGGTGCTGAGTTCAATTCCCAGCAACCACATGGTGGCTCACAACCATCTGTAATGAGATCTGGTGCCCTCTTCTGGCCTGCAGGGACACATGGAGGCTGAACACTGTGTACATAATAAATAAATAAATCTTAAAAAAATAATTTTTTTCTGTCTTCATTGAAAGACTGTATGTCCAAAAGGAGCAAGAGTAATATGCAAGAAACAGAACTACGTAGTGAGCCTCTCTCTCTCTCTCTCTCTCAAAAAAAAAAAAAGGAAAGCAAAACAAATGAAGACAAGGAAGAGGAGACCAAGTGGGAAGCTTGTGAACAACAATATGAAGGAAAGGAAAGTATTACGAATACATCAGGGGTAGAAATAAATGTCAACCACTGTTAGCATCCTTTTTAAAAGGCTGAGAACTCAAATTTCAAAACTATTTTGTGAGCAGCACAAGCATGATTGGATACATGTGTGCACACACATGCACTCATGTATGAAGCTACTTGTGATTTTATTATTTTTGGTGACACAAGTAACCAAGTCTCATTGGTGCAATGCTCGATTTATGAACTGGAATGATCAGAGTTCTAAAACTCCCAGGAGACAGACATGTCTTCTGAGGCACAATTACAGGATCCTGTACCTTCGGGGATCACTGAGGAGACCTGGAGGGTCCACCTGTTGTCCCTGACTTAGTGCCAGTGTATTCCACAAGAGCCACGGTGGCAGGAAGTGAAGGTACTATTTGGTTTCAAATGACAGTGAGCATTAAATGACTAAGTCTTCATTTAAATTTGTTAAGATCAATATAAAAAGCATGATAGTATTGAACAGGTAAACATAATATACCATGAGAAACAAAACCCATTCTATGACAATCCAAGAAAAATAAAAATATTTCAGAAACCCACTCACACGACCTTTCATTTCTCGCTGTAATGAGTTGCCTTTGGTGTTCTCCACAGAACAACATTTGGTGCTAGCAGCTCCTCTGCAGATGGTAAATTAATCACATCCAACTGAGGCCTCCAACTGAGGCCCTGGGTGTGCTGACGTGGAAATGATCTTGTGTTTGTCTTATAAGGAGGGGCATGTTTGAGTTGTGGGAAGGTTTCCTGTGTGTACATGGTCAGAATTGACCAAACCTGGTGTTCCCAAACTCCACTTCACGTCAGAACCACCTGGGTCTTGATAGAAGTTCCAAACAAAGGCCCTGCAAGCCACTTAAACCACCGTCCCTGGGATACACGGGCCCCTGATTTCTGTGAAGCTGCCTAGGTGACCCCAACTTGCAGGCAAATTTGAGGATCAGTGTGTCATATAAAGAGTAGAGAAAGATGACTTACAAATTCAAACAAAGATTATGGAATCAGTGAGGTGGTGAATGACAGAAAGCTTAAACTTCAGGCCAGTTCTAGAATGTTCTGTGCATTATTTTCTAGGAAGGTTCCTTACCTTTTACTTCTGAGCCCTGGCCACTTCAGTCTCATCAAAAACTAAAAAAACTTGACTATAAAAGGTTTAAATAAGGCTTAACAGTCTGGTTGTAGTCAATTTACTAGTAAGACCACCCAAACACATCTTTCCAAGCAAAGCCAACCCCACATAGAGCCTACTCTGCTTATTACAGGCTGAGAGTTGCTGACTATCATTTTATCAAAGTATCTTCTGGAGAAAATACTAGTCTCTGCTCTTTGTAACAACAGAGTTCGGTCGGCATTCAGTAGACACACACACCCTTGATTCAGAGGACTCCTAGCGAGACTGAGGGTGGAGGAAGACCAGCTCACAGCTGGCTTAGAGAAGGTTTCTCTGCCACCTAATGGGCATTTGAAAACATGCCATACAGAATTCACCTTGTGGATCACAGTGCCTGTCGTACAACTCAATACTGAGCAATTTGGAATGCTTGGCTTTATTTTTTAACATCTTCACAGCCTTTCTCTTTACATCAATTCCTAGTCAAATGCTCCATGTGTCAAACTTTTTAACCTGTTTGATTCTTCGGAAGAATTTTACTTGTTTCTTAAAAACCTGACTCTAAGTGATCAAGGATGCTTCCAGGTACACATTGTAATCAGCAGTCTGTGTCCTGTGCCCAGCCTTTCAATATTAGAAGCCTCTTGATGATCTTCTCTGACTCTGACTTAACTGTTGTCTACACATAGATGACTCCGGAGTTTATATATTTCACAGCAGGCTTTTGCTCTGGATATTTCACAGAGCCACCTCCTTGTCTTGAATATCTAATAGACTTCCTGATTAGACTGAATCACTAAACGCACGCGCGCGCGCGCACACACACACACACACACACACACACACACGTTTCTGACTCTCACACATACCATTGTCTCTACCTTTCTCTCTCTCTCTCTCTCTCTCTCTCTCTCTCTCTCATACACACACATACATCTTGGTAGTCTTGTTATCTCATACATGGTAGTTTTATCCTGGCTTCTCAGGCTAAAAGCATTAGCCATTATTGATTCTTCTTCAATCAAACCTCATATTAAATGTCAGTAATATACAATTATCTTGTGTATTTTCAGAACCCTAAGATTTTCTGCCATCAATTGTCCCACCCCAGTCTGTATTATTGTAAAGGTCTCTTTAGGCTTCCTACAGTCTAGACTTAAAAAAAAAAAAGCAGCCAAAATTGTTCAACTGTTTGAGCCTGTCACTCCTGTTTAAACTCCCCAGTGGGTCACCCAAGTCAAGACCCAGTGGCTTCTGAGGCTGTGGTGTGACCTCTTATGCTATTGTTGTGAAATTCTTGTTGGTGTGGTTTCAAGACAGCAATACCCCGGTCATCCCCCAAGTGTGATCACCTGCATGTGACCCTCATACAATTGGCCTTGTGGAAGGGGGTGAGGAAGGCCCCATCATGGGACACATCATGGGAGATGCTAGGCTACACAGGTGGTGAAAGGTGACTGACAGGACTACAGCAACACAGCCCCTTGAGGTATCTATCACTCATGCCGAGCTGAGGCTTTGCAGGTGACCCGTCACCTCCACTCCTGTAAGCAACACCAGTACTGATCAGTTCAGATCTGGACTTGCAGGAAAATGTCTTGTTGGCCTGCCTTTACCTCCTCCAGTTGTGAACAGCAACAGGAAGCCACCCAGCGTCGATTCTCCCCCAGAACCTGACCCTAGCCTTGGTAGACACTCTCTCCACAGCCACCTTCAGCTGGTTGCTCTCCTCACTTCTTTTGGATTTTGTACCTTTTTGTTTCAGGTCTTTCACTCAAAACCCCTTATCCAAGCCCCCTCCCCGCCATCCTTCAAGGTCACTCTCCATCCTCTTAATTCTTTGTTTCTCTCACCAACACCATGCTCATTTGCTCACACACTTTCTGTATCCCATGGCAGAACAGGTATACTGGTTACCTTTCTATTGTGAGCAAATACTACAACCAAGGCAACTTAGAGTTAATTGGACTTATGGTTCCAGAGGTTAGTCTTGATGGTGGAGCAAACGCAAGGTAGCAGATGGTTGGGGCAGCAGCTGAGAGCTCACATCTTGATTCACAAGCTAGAGACAGCAAGCATACTGGGATAGCAGGAATCCTTGAAGCTGACCCAGCTGACCCAGCTACACACCTGCCCGACAAGGTCACACCTCCTAATCTTTCTAGAGGTGAGAAGCCTGGAAGATCCTGAGGAGGTGCTCGTGTCCAGCTAGCCACAACACACAAAATATTGCACTGTACTTGTAACATGAGCTAGATGAGTCAATTAAAATAGTACTTTTCACATTAAGAGGTGGTTAAAATACCAATATAAACACAAGCATAAACTAAATATGCCAAGAAAACTAACTCAGGAAGCAGAACTGACACAAATGTCATTTAAATTATTACTGTAAGAAAAAAATCTGTACTGTACTAAATCTGCTACTAGCTAAGTATACAAAACACACACTCCCACAAAAAATCCAATGAAAATGTAAGTAAAATTGCTTTTATTTTCATAAATAAAGATAAATCATTATATAAACATTGAGCAGTAGTAGCATGTGAGCTGTCCTTGCCTGGTATGACATACATGCAACACGAATGTATAGTTCCATCTCCCTACAGTATTCATGCCAGTGCTCCACATTCGGTATCTCCCCAAATTCCCAATACCACTTTAAAACCTTATATAATGGGGTACATTAGGTGTCACCTCTTCAGTCAACAGAAGACTTCTTGTCTGACCATGTGAACACGGTCAATTATGGATTTCATCACCCGTACTTACTGTAGAAGCACCTTACACATATGGGTTTCCACCTCACTAGTGGTGGTTTAGTCCAGTCCACAAAAATCTCCCACCTAGTTAGTTAGTACTAGTACCTAAAACAAGTCCCACGGGCAGAGAGCAAGCAGGCTTGAGCAAGTACTAGTTAAAGTGTTGTCAGTAAATGGCAGCTAGGACAAGCAACTCTGTAGTTAGGGAAATCTTAGTATTTTTTTTCTACAGGCAGCAAAACAAAACCTAATGCCCATTCATTCAGTAGTTTCTCCAAGTGTTCTGAAAGCCGCAGCTTCAAATGTTAAATAGATACTGATAGATACTGTAAGCTGTAACTAGCTTTTCTATTTTTAAAAAAACTTCATTGATTCTACGGAGCGTTTCCAAGGAGTGTAAACTATGATATATGATTTATTGAATACAATCTTGATTGAAGGCTAATATGTTCATTCTTTATCATGAGATGTACATTCCTGTTTCAATACTTTATGTGACTGATGTGTTTCCCACAGGGTTGCTATGTGGATGCAGTGGTTTGTCTAAGTGCCTGCCCACTGGCGTGTGCACAGTAAGCTCTCATGTACACTACTGTTCCCATTGAGTGAGCCAATCTGCCACTTATGAACAGGAGTTAACACTGCAGGAGAGTAACCGAGCAGGACACACTACACATATATGACTTGTGAAAGTGTCACACACCCTCTATTTCCCAGTCTGTGGATATAACCAAACTGTTTAAGTGGTACCCACTTTGAAGATCATAGTTTATATCTATATCTTGACCTTCTGCTGCTATGGCCTTTGGCCTACAGTCAAAGAAATCCGATAGGCTAGATATCGAAGAAAACCATGTTAAAGACACAATGTACACCAAAATCAGGTAACAAAGAATATTTTCTTAAAATGCTTTTAACGAAGGAATCATCAGTGTGAGCCAGGAGAATCTATCTCGACTGAGCCTAAGAAAGGCTTTCTTTACAACATGCAATGCTGTACTTCTTTAAAACACACTTTCCATTCTTTATCTCTCTCTACAGAAACACCAAATGCTAGTACAAAGCTTTGTCCCTTAAGTAAAAAAGTTCATTAGAAAAAGTACTTGTAAAAAAATCACTGTCTGGACACTGAGGGTGACTATGGGAACATGGGACTCTGCAGGGAAGGGAAGTGTACGCCATCGTTGGTTTCCCTAAGTTCCACATTCCTCTAAACACTGATTTTTCTAGTAAATTATTGGCTGCTAAGTGTAAGGAAAGAATTTGGTCTGAAGGTTTTCTGATTTTTAACTGCAAATTTCTTTTCCTACCAGAAGACTCAAATCTAACAAGTCGGTGACAAGAAGGGAACTCATTTCTTTTAAAACATTCTTCTGGTATCAAACAAGAAGCAAAACACTTTTTTATGAAGGTAGAAAAACATTACCATGAAACTTACTCTCTAGCGTTCAAATAAGTCTAACCCCCTCCCCACGCACACTCATTAAAGGCATAAAAACAACCCTTCCAAGTGCTGTCCTGATTAAAAAAGCAGAGCCCAGAAACAAAAGCATAAAACATTTCTATGTTAAAAATCAAGAATAAATAAACAAAAGGCCAAGTCCCTCTGAAGTCAGTAATTATCCCATGGGCTTCATAGAAATCAGAAAAGGTGAAGTGAAGCCCGCAGTTCATCTTAGGAACTGGCAGCGAGATCTCTAAACAAGTGTCACTTAAGAGACAGAACACCCAGTGTCCTTTTGAGGTTTGATATCCGGTTCTTTTACAGGTTTCACGTCGTCTTCCGGTTTGGGTTTGACCTAGGGAGAAAGGAAACACGGTGAATATGCAAATGGAGATTGAGAAAACCCGCAGAGGTTTCCTCTACTTCCTACCTTCCAGGGTGCTGGCATGTTAAAGAACGGCACTGAGGTGACCCACGCCATGGGGGGGGGGGTGATTCCCCTCTACAATCTTTCAGTAAAGGAAAAACGTGGTAACAGAGATAATTTATGACAATATAAGCTATCTTTGAAAGGACTGCTTCAGAGGCTCAATAGGAAGAAAAATGATTGTATTAAGGAGTACTTGTATGGTGAGGAAACTATAAAAATATACAATTTCAAGGAAGGATTACATTTATAAAACAATCCCCACTCCTTCGGTCACAGATCCCTAGTCTTTTGGTAATGAAACATAGACTTTCCCGTGCGCTACCGTCTGATTCAGAGTGCTATGGGAGCTTAGGGATGAACGAATGCACACATATTCTATTTCAATCCTGGATGATTAACAGAATGCTGCCATTCCTGGGGTCAAAAGGGGCATTGTTATAGCAACATCAACGCGGATGACCCCCCGCCCCCATCGTCTACTTAAGAAAGCACTGACAAGCTGTGAAAATGAGGTGATATGTTGGAAACAATGTCAGTAAATTACAAAGGAATCTAGAAGTCACTGAAGGAGTAGGGGCTACTTCTGAAAACAATCTACACCCGATTAGAATAAGCACTGTAATAAGCTAACTGTGCATTCAGACAAATACATAGACCTGCTGAAGTAGACGAAGACATCACAAAACTAGCTTTACAGTCTTCTTAAACATCTGTGAAGGAAAAGAAAGCCCCAATCTCATACACTGTCATCCTTGGGTCTCTTGGTGAGATCAAATGCAGCCAACGCTTCCGGTGTCCAGTGAGCACTCATAGGAGGAAATTCAAAAGGCACAGGCTCTACCAGCCCATAATTTGCTTTGAGTTCCAGTTGTGGGGCTTCTGTTGGAATTTTTTGAAAGTAACTGCAAAAAGCAATTTAAATAGAGGTTTATTCATTTCTTCAGCAACACTTGAGCATCTAACATGTTCAAAGCTACGATGAGTATGGCAGTTCTCAGCTCTAGGGGTACAGTCCCAAATGGACCGATGAGAAGTCAGGAGGCCCTAGTAAGTTATAGCACAATGCAACAGCGTTCAAGGACAGAAAGAATACAAAGAAGGGAGTGGGCCTGGATTTGGGGGCTCAGTCTATTTTCAAAGGAAGGGAGAAAAACTAAAGCAGACAAGTGAAAAGTTCAGTGTGACCAAATGCAGAGTATCACTGAAGAATATAAAGAGGCAGGCAGGCAGGGACAAGAATGATTCTCCCAGCCTATGAAGGAACCGAACTACAGTTTGCACTGACAACTGTTGATTTCCTAAATAGTTTCGGTCTTACTGCTTGAAGGGACCAGGAAAATTTATGAGAAAATTAAAATTTCCTACTTTATAGTTAGCTCAAACCAGAGTGAGACAAATAGGCAAAACAGTTGATTGTAGACTGGTGCGGGAGAATTTTCTCTATTCTGTCAATCATGTTTTAAATAAATGCTGATTGGCCAGGCAGGAGGTGTAGGTGGGAAAACTAGACAGGATGTGGAAATGATGCAAGGGGAGCAGGAGAATTCTGGGGAGGAGGAAGTTGATTCCTTGCACTCCTGCCCAGGCCACCGAAGCAGCAGGATGTGAGCTGCCCCACTGAAAAAGGTACTGAGCCACATGGCTAAAATAGATCAAAAAAATGGGTTAATCAAGATGTGAGAGTCAGTGAGAGGCTAGAGCTAATGGGCCAATCAGCTTTATAAATAATAGAGATCTTTGTGTGGTTTTCTTTGGGCTTGCCGGCTGTGGGGTACTGGGCAGGACAGAAACCCCCAACAAACAAACAGCCCCTCATGCTACAGTACACACACACACACACACACACACACACACACACCTGCCCTGCACAGAGGCAGCAGATAGAAGCAAAGTTTAGAGAAAAGGAAGTCTTTATAGGAGTATCCTGATGAAATAAACTTTGTTACCAAATCCCACTTAGATTTTAAACCTACTTTTTATGACATCATATATAAAATAAAAGGCCCTATAAACAACTTTATCACCAGTTTAAAAAAAATTAATACTAAATTTAAATGCAATTTAAGAGACATCCTTTGGGACTGGAGATAAAACTGTTACTAAAGTCACTATGGTAGCAATCCTGATCAAGGAGTGAGTAGTACGCACATGAACCCGTTTTCTCTCTGACATTTGTCCAGGGTGTTCTTCACAAGGCTGCCAAGCTTCCGGAAGAACAGGTGACCTGATGGCTTGGCTGTAGGTCCTGGTCCTTTGGTTTCCCCATACTCTTTGCACAGGGCTTCAGCCTCTGCGTACACTGTGGAGAGGACAACAGTCTCAGAATGGTTAGCCCTGCCCGAGAGCTCCAAGGCCTGAAGTGAGGACAGTGGCTTCTGCTGTTTTCACCTGCCGTGAAAGCAACACAACGACAGTGCTGGTGGGAGGCGGTGTTTTCTATAGGCTCGAGGATAAGAATATTTTTTTCTTTTCTCCAACTATCTTGTCTATTTCTTTCATGAACTTAGCTATCTTGCCTGTTTCTTTCATGAACTTAGAATCTACGCATTCCCTTTAGGATGAAAGAATTTTTTTTTAAAAAAAGGAGTTAAAATCTTAGAAGGAAAACTTACATTTTTCTGCTTCTTGGAGAGACCTGATTGCTTCTCCACATTTATCACTAGCCAACAGGGTCTGGCCATGGTAACAATATGCCTGGCAAGAGAAACACATTTGCATAGATTCTGTCCTCGGATTCCATGTCACACTGTCAGTCACTGTTTGGACTATCCATGCAAGCCTTTACTTGAGGGTAGGCTTCCCTCATCTCTGTCCAAATAAAATGAACAGCTAGGCCTAGCCCTGACAAGAAGCAGACATGTCACTACACTCTAAGAGCAAAACCTACTAGCTGAAACTTGTTTGAAAAATGAGGACAGAGCTATGAAAAGGAGTCAATTCTTTGTTACACACACATAAAGAGATAGGGCAGTGTTTTGGGACGAACAAGCAGAGTCTGCTGACTGTCCCACTCCAACCCATGTCCCACCCCATCTGTCTATATATACCCCTCCTCCTGGGTTCAGGATCCTCCTCCTGTCTCAGCTTCAAATGCTTAGGGTTACAGGCATGTCTCACCACACCCAGTAAGGACCACAGGCTTTAAGAAAAGCATATCAGCCTGAAGTCTACTCATTAAAATCTGCTGAAACAGACAACTGGTGCTGAGTAATAGTATGCTGTAAAACACTGTATCATGGAAGGGGTAGAAATATTTACTTAACTCTGAAAAAGGTTCTGACTGCCTTTCACATGATAATAACCTTAAGTTTGATGGTTTAATCAACAAGTAAGGAGCTTCTAAAATGGTGCAGACTGATGGGTTTTCACCTAGGTCATACACACTGTGTGGTATGCCTAAGATTAAAATAAATCAACAACAAAATCATGGTGTGTATAGAGGTGTGAGTAAGCAGGGGGTCAGAGGCCAACCTTAGGTTTCAGTCCCTGCCTTCCATTCTGTTTGAGGCAGGGTGGCCTGTTGTTTGCTGTGAGGCATGCAAGGCTAGCAGCTGGCATTTCTGCCTTCTATATCACTGTAGAGGTGCTGGTCTTACAGATGTGCACTATTGCATTCAGCTTAACATGGCATCTGGGGATCTGAACTCAGATCTTCACACTTGCTCACAACCTACTGAGCCATCTTCCCAAGCCACTGAGGTTAGAATTTGTTGATACTCCTCTCATGGACAGGATAAAACAACTGAGAGAATTCCCATTATGTGCCTAGTCTGAAAATACAATTTGGGACCACACAGCACCTCTAGGTCTACAACTGTCTATCATCTTGACAGCTGCCTGTCACTGGCAATCACTTCGCCATCTGCAGGGCTATCGGGACTCACATAGGCCGTGTAGAAGCACATCTTCAGGTGAAGGTACTTCCTCCATTTAGCAGAGTATGCAGGCTCCAAACTGGATAAAGTATGATCTAAAGTTAACATTTTAAAAAGCAAAATATCATTTCACCCAGTTTCACTGGAACATTCCTTAGTTCCTGTGTTCTGGTGCTAAAAGCAGAATGTCATCTAGTCTAAATTCAAGCTTTCATACATTAAGGAAAAAAAACTCTAAATACTTAATATGATTTATTTCTTCATAATTACGTATTTGAACAACATAATAAGTACCTCTTCAATTTGATGGTTAATGTAGCTTTAAATTAATGGCAAAATCCAAACACTTTCCTAAACCAAGACTCAAGAGCTCTACTACTAGGTATATTTCCAGCTCCTTACACATTAATTTATAACATATTAACTAACATGGATACATGCATATTTGTGTCTGAGAGGAGCATATGTGTGTGTAGCCTATTCACCCTGTCTGCTGAGACAAGGTCTCTTCACTTTTACCTGAATCTTACTGACTGAGCAAGGCACAGGGATCCTGCTTGACTCCTCCTCCATGGCAATAACATGTCATCAAGCTTGGCTTTTTTACATCCTATAGATCAAACTTAGGTCTTAATGCTCGTATGGCAAACACTTCACCCACAGAGCTCTGTCTCTGCTTTTGAGACAAACTGTCCAGGCTAGCCTTGATTTTACTCTGTTGTCAGGCAGGCCTTGGTACAATCCTCCTGCGACAGCCTCTGGAGTACCTGTGCCACCACACCTGGCCTCTTATTTTTAAAAAGGCCAAAATCCAAAGATTTTATTCTAGTAATAAAATGGGAAATACGAGAATCTTGTTAAACCTAAGGACTGTTGGTGTAACAACACGGCGCGGTTACCTGCTCTCTGGTAGAAGCTGGCTGTTTCGTACGCAAGCGCAGCAATCAGTCCGGGAGTGTGCTTCAGCTCGATTGCTCGGGCAATTGTTACTGTAACCGGTTATAAATACAACCTCTAAGTTCACATCCAGTTATGGGAAGTTCAGTCATAACAGCAAAAGACAGCCTGACAGTCTTCTTTCAGATTTTCATAGTTTTTAAAAAATATGTTTTAGTATAAAATTTATAGAAAACAAACACAAAAAGAAACCACTGATTTTATGTTTCTGATACAGTATCTTAAATCATTAGCCAACCATTAGCACAGAGAATTACTAAAATAGCATGACAGGAAGAAGAAAAGTGCTTTGAAAGTACTCAGTTTGACATACAGATAAAAAGCTTACAGGAGTTTACTGTTTTTGGTAACTGACAGAAGAAGACTTCAGGTAATTTAATGAGTGGGAGAAGGAAAGTAATAAGCACAGCAGAGGAGGAGAGATGAGTAGTGCTGATGTTTGCGGCAGGAACGAAGGCTCGCAGTTAAGATCACAAAGTACTCTTTCAGAAGAGCAGCGTTCGGTTCCCAACGTGCATTTTGGGAGGGTCACAACCACCTGTAACTACAGCTTCAAGGGATTTGGCACCCTCTTCTGACCTCTAAGGGCACCCACACACATACCCCCACCACATACACATTCTCTCTCACACACACCTAAAAATTAATCTTAAAGAAAGAAAACCCAAAGATGAACATTAATGCTATCAAAAAGGCATGAAATCAAAACTCCTTTTAAAGAAACATCAGCTGGAAGGAGCTCTCTGGACAGCAAAGGAAATGTTAAAGGTAAAACGGCCCTTATAATCAGTTCTTAAAACTTAATACAGCTAATTCTGGTATTTTCCAAAGACTCAAAAGCCAATATAAACATTCTTAAAAGCAAAACATCTTCGAGTATTTCTATACCTTCTTGAGCCTCAGCCTGGCACTGGATGACGTAAGTATCTATAAGCCGAGCCTCTAAGTCCTGGCCCTTTTCTGCTGGTGTAAGAAGTTTGGGTATATGACTTTCCTGGAGAGAAAGAACAGAAAACAAACATGTCAAATCTCATCTTAATGCTGCTGTCAGAGACGACGATGTGATTATGGGATATTTAACTTCGAGACTCACTGGGAACCTAAGAGAACAGACCAAGCAGTGGCTGTAAGCTCACAGGCACGGTGAGGACTTATCTACTCAAAGTGAACTTTTATAAGAAATCCAGAAGCAAGAATTAGGTTATAGTTCTTTGCCAATACAATATAATGCAAAGCATATCTTTATTTTAAAAAGTATTTAGCTGCAATAGTAACAAAAATTCTCTTTTGTACTGTGACTTGTTCATTCACAGTAAGAGTTAACGTTGAAAAGAAAATACTGCAAATTCTACATCATCTAATTCAGGATGAAGAAACACCATAAAGCTGCCTCCAGAGGCCCTCATTTATCAGTAGTTTCAATCATCAGAAGAAGAGGGCAGTGTCAGAGGAAGACAAGCATTTTTCCTCAGAGTTCCCGTCCTATCTTCAGGTATCTGATATTATTAGATTGCAGTGATTGCCTGGCCATGAGACTCAGAATGGAACCTCAAAGTCAGTACCGAGGGATATGACTGCTCCCAGGGACAGCAGAAAGTAATGCACAGTAGCACAGACATCAACTTATCTGTTTTGTTTTCACTCAGGGTAAGAGACAGAAAAGTAAGCAGAATATTACAGCTAAAGCTTCTAGTTATGATCCACCAACTTGAAAGTAAAAATGAAGTTACTAGCACAGTAACTGGCTGTGGCTCCCAAGAAGGCAGCTGACATACAGCACACACAGCTAGCTCAGACCAAGTCCTCGACATTTGCACTCATCCTCCGTGGCCGCACACAATCTCCTTGTCACCACTGCCTAGACAATACAGTAACACGAGTACTCACAGAGCAGTCACTCTGTGCTAGCAGACGAGAAAGGTATACAGTACACAGGTCGTGCATGGCTTACATGCAGAGCCCACGTCACTTTAGAAAAGGCAGTACAGAATCTAGACTTGGGTGTGCAGATGTGGAAGGGCGATCTGTTCTTAAACCAACTCTCTGAAGTCACTGGGGGGACGGGACTATCTCTTTGACACAATAGAGTTACTAATCCTGACACACAGTCCAAGAATTAACAATGTGTCACCCCCAGATCCATCCTACCCTGCCCTGCTCCCCAACCCCATTTACCTTTAAATGTTTAAAAATTCCAGCTGCAATTTTTAGGCTCCGATGGACTTCTTTTGCTTCATCTTCTGTTATGCTTTAAGACAGTGGTTATGTAAGTTAGAGAATGCGCCTTATTTCTGGTACTAACAGCTACCACGTTATCAGAACACCAAGGCTGGGACATGGCTCAGTGCCTAAGAGCACTTGCTGCTCTTGCAGAGGACTCAGTCCAGCTCCCAGCACCCATGTCAGGCAGCTCCTATGCCTGTGACTCCAGCTCCAGGGCGACCCAAGGCCTCTGGCCTCCGCAAGCATGTGCACATACCTACACACAGACACTTGACCAAATGAGTTATTTGTGTTTCTTATTATTAGTTCTCTTCCTTAAAAAGAAAAAAAAATCTAATTTCTCTAAAAAAAAAAAAAAAAAGAACAAACTAAAAATACACATGAAACATACCCTAAGACTCTGCAGACAAACAGAGAGCTTGCCTCGAAGGAAATGCTAAACAGTCTTATGTCTTTCCAGACTGCTCTGCCATAAACACATACAAAACACTACGAACTTAACACATCATGGCAGCTACACACACTACTCTGTTCATTTGAATCACTCTACTCTGGCAAACACGACTCATGTTCATGTTTACATGTCTGCATATTACTACGTGTGAATGAATCAGAATGGATGTGCCTGTTTCTCAGTGCTGTATGTTACCATGAAAGTTGTCTCATCTAATTTTACAATTCTTAAAAAAAAAGTTGTTATTTCTCTGTGTGCACTGGTGCATGAGTGGAGGTCACAGGACAAGTGTGTGGCTCAGCTCTCTCCTCCCCTCGTTCTGTGAGTTCTGGGGTCCAACTAAGGCTTGTGTCATTGGGTGGCAAGCACATTTACCCACTGAGTTACCTCATTGGCGTGCAATTCTTTAGTCCTCTAAACAATTTTTTATATACCTTTAAGTTTTTTGTATCTCTTTTTCTACAAATTGCCTATTCATATCCTTTATTTTCAACTGACTTGATAGTTGTTGGTTTTTAGATTATACATTTAAAAATGGACAACTTATAACGAGTTGCAGTTTTGCTGACCAATCCCGTCACTGTTTGAAATCTCTGTTTACAGTACTTGGAATGCAGTCAAGGAGCCGCACTTTTCACAGCTTCTTGGCTTGGGGTCTTACCTAGATCTACCACCACATAGCAAGATTATGGAAACCTTTCCCACTGTAAAACCAGAGTACAGGACGGTGGCTGCACAGGCTGGCATCCTGGAATCAATCTCTGGAACTCATGCAGAAGTGAAAGCAGAGAACCTATTCCACAGGGCTGGCCCTGGCCTATGTGTCCCTCACCCACCCCAAGAGCAATAAATAAAAATTTACAAAACAAAGAATAAACTGCCTAACTACAGTTCTTAAGTATGAACAATGACTCTTGTACTTACTTCAAATGGAAAGTTTTAGAAAATAGCCTAGACTTAAATTCAATATATTTAAAACAACAACAACAACAACAACAACCACACACACACACACACACACACAAATAAAACCTTTGCTTTCTAACTTACTTTTCTTTTCCGGCCAATCGTGAAGCATATTTGGTATACCATAATGCTACATTAAATCCCATGGATATCAATTCAAAAACAGCATCCTGCTGGGCACTGGAATTAGAAATGAAATCATTAAGTTCTACAAATTATGAAGATATGGCTAAACAAAGCTTACTTGGCTTAGCAGGGTAAGGCTCTTGCTGCCAAGTTTGATGGCCCGAGTTCAATCCCTGGAACCCGCATAGTTGAAGAGAAACGATTCTTGCATGTTGCTCTCTAACCTTCACATATGTACTATGACATGCAGGCTCACATACATGTACACATAGCACATATAAATAATAAGTGCATTAATTTTAAAAAATATGAAGATACAAGTTGGGTACAGTGCTGCATGCCTTTAATCCTAGCATTTGGGAGGCAGAGGCTGGTGGATCACAGTGAGTTTGAGGCCAGCCTGGTCTACAAAGTGATTTCCAGGACAGCCTGGGCTGCATAGTGATGGTTGGTCTCAAACAACAACAACAACAACAACAAAAACAAACAAAGAACAAAGAAACCAAAAGATAGAACTGACACATATGAATTCAGGTAATTAACAATCTAAATACAGTGGTACAGAATTTTCTTAGTTTGCTTTCTATGTGCTAAGACAGAAAGCATGCACACACACATACACACACACAAGCATGCACACATGAACAATTTGGGGAAGGAAAGGTTTAGTTCAGCTTACAGCTCACAGTCTAATATGACATCAGAACAGACACTCAGGATAGGAAACTGCAAGCAGAACTGAAGCAGAGGCCATGGTGGAACACTGCTTACTGGTTTGCTCCCCATTGCTTTCTCTCTCGGTTTCTTTTTTATATAATTCAAGATGACCTGCCCTGTGGTGGCAATACCCAGGTGGGCTGGTCCCTCCTTGCATGAATCGTTCATCAAGAAAATTACCCACAGGTTAATCCAATGGAAGAATTTTTTCAATTGAGTTCCCTCTCCCAAATGACCCTACTTTACACCACGCTGACAAAAAAAAATTAACCAACACAAGTATGAACTATGTACTCCACAGTAATAATCACAAAAAAGTAGTTCCCAAAGCTATTATAAAATAGCTTTAAAACCATGTATTTCTGTGACTCCTTAAAAACTCAGAAAGCACCGGGCATGGCTTTAATCCTAGCACTACAGAGCTTGTTCTGTAGCCCAGGTTGGCTTCAAGCTCATAATCCTCCTGCCTCGGCTTCCCTCGCACCTGGTTATCAGCATATGCACCATTGCTTAGCTTAATCCACAGAACCAATACTGGGGATGATGTGGGGAAAGCACTGAATTTACATAATTCAAGTCCTTTATAGCCTGTCAAGTTGTTCACTGTAAAGATGATGAAGATTTGCCCAGCAAAATCCCAGCAAAATTCTTCAAAGACCTCGAAAGAACGGTACTCAACTTCAATTGGAAAAGCAAAAAACCCAGGATAGCCAAAACTATCCTGTACAATAAAAGAACTTCTGGAGACATCACAATCCCTGACTTCAAACTCTACTGCAGAGCTACAGTACTGAAAACAGCCTGGTATTGGCATAAGAACAGACAGGAGGACCAATGGAACCGAATAGAAGACCCAGATATCAACTCACACATCTTTGAACACCTGATCTTTGATAAAGAAGCAAAAAATATCAAATGAAAAAAAGAAAGCATATTTAACAAGTGGTGCTGGTATAACCGGATATCAACATGTAGAAAAAGGAAAATAGACCCATATCTATCTATCACCATGCACCAAACTCAAGTCCAAATGGATCAAAGACCTCAGCATAAAGCCAGCCACACTGAACCTTATAGAAGAGAAAGTGGGAAGTACACTTGAACACATTGGTACAGGGAATCACTTCCTAAATATAACCCCACTTAGCACAGACACTGAGAGAAACAATTAATAAATGGGACCTCCTGAAACTGACAAGCTTCTGTAAAGCAAAGGACACGGTCAATAAGACAAAAAGAGAGCCTACAGAATGGGAAAAGATCTTCACTAACCCCACATCAGACAGAGGGCTGATCTCCAAAATATACAAAGAACTCAAGAAATTGGACACCAAAAGATCACATAAGTCAATAAAAAAAATGGAGTACAGACCTAAACAGAGAACTCTCAACAGAGGAATCTAAAATGGCTGAAAGACACTTAAGGAAATGTTCAACATCTTTAGTCATTAGAGAAATGCAATTCAAAACAACTCTGAGATTCCATCTTACACCTGTAAGAATGGCCAAAATCAAAAACACTGATGACAACTTATGCTGGAGAGGTTGTAAGGAAAAGGGAACACTCCTGAATTGCTGGTGAGAATGCAAGCTGGTACAACCCCTTTGGATGTCAGTGTGGCGATTTCTCAAAAAATTAGGAAACAACTTTTGGGTATATAACCAAAGGATGCTCAATCGTGCCACAAGGACATGTGCTCAACTATGTTCACAGCAGCTTTGCTTGTCATAGCCAGAACCTGGAAATAACCTAAATACCCCTCGATCGAAGAATGGATAAAAAAAAAAAAAAATGGTACACTTACACAATGGAGTACTATACAGCAGAAAAAAATAACGACAGCTTGAATTTTGCAGGAAAATGGATGGAACTAGAAAACATTATTTTGAGTGAGGTAACCCAGACCCAGAAAGACAATTATCACATGTACTCACTCATAGGTGGTTTTTAAACATAAAGCAAAGAAAGCCAGCCTATAAACCACAATCCCAGAGAACTTAGACAACAATATAAACACTAAGAGAGACTTACATAAATATAATCTACCTGAGAAGTAGAAATTATAAAAAGGCAAGATCTCCTGAGTAAATTGGGAGCATGGGGACCTTGGGAGAGGGTTGAAGGGGGGAGGGGAGAGGCAGGGAGGAGAGCAGAGAAAAATGTAGAGCTCAATAAATATCAATTAAAAATTCAATCAATAGAAACTTGTTGGGGCCAATGAAATGGCTCAGCAGGTAAAAGCACTTCCTACAGTATAAGCTTGATAACCTGAGTCCAAGCCCTGAAGATCATATTTGGGACAGGCAGTGGCCAGCATCTGTAATCTCAGTACCTCCTAAGGGGAGGTAAGCAGTGGCAGGACAGGGATCATGTCCAGAAGCTGATGGGCCAGCTAGCCTAGAACATGCAGTATGGCAGAAACAGAAGCATGCCTGCCTCAACATGGTGGAAGGTTCTAGTTGTCCTCTGAGGTCCATGCATGTAGTTGAATAAGCATGTGTGACCCCGGTGTATGTATGTGTGTGCCCACACATGTGCACACAAATTTTAAAAGTTTTAAATCTTAAAAGAATATTCCCCAGATGTTTGCATTGTTTTTAAGCAACCACACCCAACAATGCAAAAAAAAAAAAAAGATGATGAAGACTTGATCCTTAAAAAACAGACTTCACTGGGCTGGAAATATGGCTCAGTGGTTAAGAGCACTGGCTGGTTTTCCAGAGTATTCAAGTTCAATTCCTAGAACCCATGGCAGCTCACAACTGTCTGCAACTCCTGTTGCAGGGAATCCAACACTGTCACAGAGACATACGTGCAGGCAAAACACAAATGTACATACAATACAAATAAATAAATTTAAAAATAGTCTTTCACAACAACAACTCCTTAATTTTGGATGAAAAACAGTGATTACACAAAGAAAAACAGGAAGTCTTGGAAAACTTTGGTATTCAAGACTACTAGAATCCACACAACATGTCCAAGGAAGAAAGGAAAGCAACATAAAGTGAATGTCTTAATTCTATAGAGGCCTGGCATTACATCATTCATCACGCCTACAGTTTCTCATTTTGTTCCTCACAGTATCCCATTATCATCATCACATCAATATCTAATTAAAGTGGATGTTCACAGAAAACCTGCATTGTGTCTTAGCATGTATGAATCCAACATTCACCCTTTCTATTGTAACACCACTCTGGCATGTGATTTCTAATCCCTTCCTATTTCTGCTTGTTTGTGTTTGTGGATACACATGTGCCACAAAGCATACATGGAAGTCAAAAGGTAAATTTGGGAGCTGGCCCTCTCCTTCGACTCTATGTAGGCTCTGGGAATTGAATTCAGGTTCTCAGGCTGCACACACCTTCATACACTGAGCCACCTTGCTGGCTCCTTTTCTGCTTTTTTGTTAAACAAAGATCTATGGCCATTTTAACAAGCCAATTGTGTTTTTTAAAAGTAAAGGTTAACGTTGCAATGACCTATTCACAGTTGAGGAGTGAGAAAATTGTGAAGGGTGTTCTAAGAGTAGAAACACGGCTAGGAAGGCGGGGGATAATAAAGCCAGTTTTGGACTGCAAACTGGATATTATTAAACAGTCCATGGTGTTTAAAGTTAATATCTATTATTGCTGCAAAAATGGATTTTGTCTGGTAGAAACACATTATTTTAAACTTAATACCACACACTAGTTTAAGTCAAATTTTAATTAATTTTCTAACAAGTAACAATGCTTATCTGTTCTTCTTCTTCAAATACACTGGTCAAAGGGTTAGAAGCAGACTTGGAGTTAGGCCTCATTGGCACCGCTCACCTCGGAACGTGTCGCTCACCTCGGAACGTGTCCTTGCAGTGTATCAGTCCACTTGAAGCTCTGCACATATCGTAACTTGCTTTCTTGGGTAGAGTCACCCAGTGAATTTATGAAACCTATGAAAAGATGCAACACATTTTAATTTTAGAACAAATATTTTTTCTAGTTAAAATAGTATTTGTACATAGCTGGGCATGGTGGTACGCGCCTTTAATCCCAGCACTAGGAAAACAGGCAGCAGGATCTCTGTGAGTTCAAGGTCAACCTGATCTACAAATCGAGTTTCAGGACAGCCAGGGCTACAAAGAGAAATGCTGTCTTGAACCCCCCTCCTCACCAAAAACAATTGTTTTATTCGTATAATTACTTTTTTCAGGTGACTGAATGAACCTTCTGGTACTTTTCTCCTTCCCGTATTTTACATATTCTTTTAATAATAAAATATGGACTATATCTATCTATAGTTATCTATATCTATCTACCTACCTACCTGTATTATAGATATAGATATCTACTTTTTAGACTATTAGTATGTACCACCACTTACAAAGTCACATTTCGAGACCCAAGCATTCCAAATACAGCCTGGGAGATAAAACTATCTGTATCTGAAAAGTCAAAAGCAGATATCACATAGCTGGTAAAAGTGACCAACCTTGTAAAAGTGAGAAATACAAGTCTGCTGCGTTCTTCATCGTTTCCGGATTACAGCTTAAATCAGTGAACAACTCGAGGAGCCGAGTCCTGGATGATCTCAAATCACTAACATCAACAGACAGTAAATCTAAGTAAGTTATGTTTCAAAGACTACATAAAAACAGCTCAGAGGCTACAACTTAAAAGCATTAAAACAACACCCAATAGATCCCCTGCTTCCTTCTTTATGAAGTACTAATCCCAAGGAATAAATTTAATTAGGGTCAATGTTAGAAATAAATGAAGTTTCTATTAATAATTGCTTCAAAAGTTATAAAAAAATAAACTCAGTCTAATTAAAGGGGCAATGCATGAACCCAATTATACAATAAAAATATATAGCAAGTTTTAACAGCAAAAATATCAACCAGGCATGGCAACACAAACCTGTAATGTAGTGCTCAGGAGGTGGAAGAGGAGAGAAATCCTTAGCTATGGAGTTGAAGCAAGTCTGAGTCAGTCCAGGCTAGCTGAGACCCCGTCTCCATCAACACAAATAACAACTGAATGGGTTTAAAATTCATTCTTCCTTCTTTGTGTGTGTGTGTGTGTGTGTGTGTGTGTTTCCTGACAGGGTTCCTTTGTGTAGCCTTGGCTATCCTGTAACTAGTTGTGTAGACCAGCTGGCATTGAACTCACCTGCTTCTGCCTCCTGAATGTTGGGATTAAAGGCATGTGCCATCACCCGGCTCATTTTTCATTCTTTAGCCAATAGTTTTGGGGGAAACAGAAATTTAATGTACTTGTGTATCATTTTAATAACTAATTTGAATTTCTAAATTTGGCACTTCACACAAAACATCTAACATACTATATGATTATATATACATCCAGAAGATGTGAAACTGTATGGCCAAGGTGCCCCCACATGCCATTCTTCTCCATAACAAAAAGCATCTTGCATCCAACTTTCCCTCTTGTGATTCCTTTACCCCATGGTGACAGTGCCTACTACAGTTTCAGGATGCTCCTCCCCATTCAACACTTCTCTCTATGTCCCCAGTTCTCTCCCACATACAAAAAGACCTGTCTTTGGCCTTCTGCCTATCTCTTCTGAGAACTCACATCTTCAGTGACTTCCTCTCCTAGATCTGCAGCCACATCTAATCCAGAAAGCCACGAGAGTTCCAGAAAACACATTAAATGGACATTGACTAAAGACCTTTAAAATAGGTGTAAGTTGCTGAAGAGTACATTTAAACTGTAAACACATAGAATGCATGATATATAATACATACTCTGAATACTTTCAAAGTCATTTGTAAATGTTCTCAATCTAAATACATGTTAGAGTGTGCATGTGCACACACATGCAAATATTCATGCCTGGACATGATGAAAGTCAGGGGTTGGATGTTTGGGTCTCTCACCGAACCCAGAACTTTCCATTTCATCTAAACTTGCTGGCTTGTGCCCCAGTGCAAGGGTTCAGAAGTGTGCCACCTGCCCATTTTTTATGTGGATGTTAGGGATCTGAACTCAGGTCTCATGCTCATGCCTAAATTACCTATTTCTAAGGCATGCTTTTCTCAAGTTGTATAACTTTAAGATGAATTTAACTTTAGGCATGTTGAACTTCGGGTGACAGCACACACACACACACACACACACACACACACCAAGCAGAAACAAAAGAAGCAGTGGGCCTAACATAGTGGGCAGAGTTTGCCAACTCCTGATGTAAGTTAAACAACTTATGTGACCCTCAGCTTAAGTCCTTTCTCATACATCACTACTTTGAAGGCCACTTCAAACCATAGCAATCTCTCCCTGCTTGGAACATTAAATAATTTACTGTCTGGCTCATTAACAATACTTTTTTTTTTCGTTTGTTTGTTTTTTGGAGATAGGGTTTCTCTATATAGCTTTGGAGCCTGTCCTGGAACTCACTCTGTAGACCAGGCTGGCCTCAAACTCATAGAGATCTGCCTGCCTTGGCCTCCTGAGCACTGAGGTTAAAGGCATGCACCACCACACCCTGCTAACAATACTCACATCCTATCTTAAGGCTCTGTTGAAATATATAGTTTAACTTTGTTACTGCTTTAGCTCTTCTGGAACTCATTTACCAATCTAACCTTAAGTATGTGGCTCCGATGCCTACCAAAGCTTAAATACCCCATGATTTAATCTTCATCTGTTGATGATAAAATAGAAATTTACCATGAGTTTAATGTTAGGAATGTGTCACACATTTCTATATTGACCATGGAACTTATAAAGTCCCTTGAATCCTGCCCAACCAACACAGCTTAAGTTGCACTAACGCTTACTTGCAGATCTTCGAAGCAGGAGGACCAGTGATCATGCCATAGTAGTTAAAAGACACGGGAGCTGTAGCTTTTAACGGGTTCCTATGAAACCAATGGGTCATTTTCTCAAGATGTGTTCTACAGGCTGAAGAGACATAAAAATTGAAGAAACATTAAGTCGGAAAAAGGTACAGTAAAAACTGGCTATTTTACACTTTATGCATAAGCTATTGTACAGAAAATATACATACATAAGCATAATACACCACAAATAGATTTTGCCTTATATATTGCATCTATAATTAGGTTATGTATAAGAAAATTAAGAACTCTGTGAGTCTGGCTAAAATGTGTTCTCACCAGTCTGGGAGAGAAGCTGAGACGCTGGTAGAGCTCCAGACTACACTTCTGAGAAGCAAAGCCGAGACTTTGGTTGGATAGCCGCAAACAAGAAGGTATAGGACCTAATGAGACTCGTTTCCTTAACATAGTCAAATGGATCCCCCCATAAACACTAAGTCTTCTGGAAATAAATAAGCTTCATATTCATTTTATTTTCCACATATTGCTGGTGCTAAAGGACCTTGGTGGATATTTTGTGTTCTGTAATAAATTGATTGGGTATTAAACTGCTAAGACTATTTTTTATAATAAAATGTAAATTGTACAAATCATTTGAAACGCTACCTCAATAAAATGTCAACCTGAAAAAAAATGTAGCATAAAGAAAAAAAGCAGCACTGTTTTTTTTTTTTGCCTAAAAGTTTCTGAGTAGGTAATGTATTTAGTAACATAAGAAGGCTTCAAGCTGAATTCTCAAACATCTCATTAGATTCCAGAAGAAACACAGAAGCAATTCTGATAAGACAAATGCAATTTAAAGGCATTGCACAGGCTTTCAATCCCCCTTTATTAGGGGAAAAAAGTGTGTGGAAGGATACAGTGTTCTGAAATATCTAACTCGGGTTAGACCCACTCATGGCAAAACTGGTTAGTTATTGAACGGAGAGAATGCATTTATACTCAGGGAATGCCTGGGAAGATCCACTTAGGGCTCAAAACACTGAATATGCCCCTTCAGAACACATCACCAAAACAGCGTCTATACATACCGCCTTCAAAACCTACGCAAACGCAGCACTAGGTGAGCCTACCACACTCTAGGGAAATTTGTGAAAATAAAATTTCCGCGACTGTTTCTGCTCCATTCTTCAAACACTCCGGTGACCTGACACTTTTCGGGTCTCCAGACCTCCGAGGGTGAGGTCGAGGAACGACACACCCATCCCTCAGGAGCCTGCAGAGCCCCAAGTACAAGCCCCGGATACAGAAGGTTACCTGCCAGACCTCCCTGGGACGACCCTGCCTGCTGACACACCCCTCCGGACTCCGGAGCTTCCAGGAGCCTACCTGCGGTCTAGACACGGCCCGCGCCCACTTCCTGTTTACCGCCCGGCCTCTTCCTCCGGGTGTTACCGAGTCAGGGGCCGCGACCCCACACACCCGTCTCCTGGCTTGCGATCGGCTCTTAGGTTAGCACAGCGATCCTGTCAACCTCAGAAGGTCAAGCGGATGACTGCCAAGCCAAGGTTCTGTGTCTCGCAAGCCCTCTAACATCCAAAGGGGACGCCGGGCGAGGAGAGTCGGCCGATCTAGCTGTTAATACCATCGATTCCTCCACCGTCTACCACCCAAGGGTCCATGGAAGCTGCCATGAAGGGGGCCCTCCACTGGCGTGCAGGGCCTCGAAGGGAGGGAGAGCACGGGCTCACATGCCTCATGACATGCTTACCGGGAGCTTCAGAGTCTGTCCGCCACTCTTCCTGCTGGAGGAAAGGGAAGGCGGGACCGCAGTCGGCCTGCGAGACAAGGAAGGCGCCGGTAGCACCGAGACGACAGGGCTAGAGAAGCCGGAAGCGGGGCCAGCCGCTAGGAAGCATCACGTGACTGGAGACCGTGACAGCCGCGGAGGCGGCCGTGCGTGTCTCAGAGGGGCGGTTCCGCCGCTTTGTGGCGGCCCCTGGGCTCGCTGCGTCTGCCCGCCCTTTCTAAACTTCGTTTGCTCTTACCTTTCTGGATCCTGTTTAGTCCCTAGAGAGAGAGGGCTGTGGCATGGGCGGGAGTGGGGTGGGATGGGGTGTCCCCCGAGCCAAGGCCGGAAGCCGCCACAGCCCTGGCCTTGGCGGGTCGGGGCGGCCTCAACCTAACTGGGGCGTGGCCTAGGGGGCGTGGCCTCGGCGGGGCGGCCGCCTTGGACCCGCAAAGTTTGGCTGTGGCGGCAAATGGGTTTGGGCGGCTCCTCGGCGGGTGGCGGTGGTGGCCTTAGCGGTTCCTCCCGGTCCTGTTAATGCCAGGGCCAAGCCCGGGGAGGATGGCGCCCTAGAGCCCGACCTTGCTGGGGTAGGGGCGGGAGGGGGCCGGGGCGGGGACCGGCCATGTCGGAGGTGACCCGGAGTCTGCTGCAGCGCTGGGGCGCCAGTCTTAGGAGAGGCGCCGACTTCGACTCTTGGGGCCAGCTGGTGGAGGCGATAGACGAGTATCAGATGTGAGTGACTTAACCGCGGGAACGGGCCAGGCAGGTCGCCACCCCTTGTTTCTGCCCAGGTCTCGCATCACCGTGTCCCGCAGCGCAGGCTTCTTGGGGTGCCCCCCCGCAAGCATTAGGGCTGAGATCCATGGGCCCTCATCCGGCTGCTCGGGGACCCCCGTCCGTTCTCCGGGGAGGCTCTCTCCTCGTCCCTCTTCTGCACAGGGCCGGATCCATTCAACAGGTAGCTGGGGCCCTCATTGGCTCTCTCCTTAGTTCCCTTCAAGCTTCCCTCGGGCCCTGGGCTCTACAGGCAGTCTCCTTTCCTTCCCACAGCCTCTCCCAGGTTGCCACCCCTCCAGGGGAAACAGAAATCTTCGAAAATTCCCAGGGAATACTTGTGTGCTCTCCGCCCACGTTCGGGGGATGAGTGGCCATGTTGTGCGTGTGTGTGTGTCTTCCACTCTCCACGTGTAGGAGAGGAGGGATGTGCTAGCGCGGGAGTGGAGGTTGTCCCCGGGAAGGGATGCCTCTTCTGCCATGAGAAGGGTCCCTGCTTGCTTCCTCGCCCTCCTTCTCCACCCTTCTGTCTGGTGAGCGGTGTTTTCTCAATTCCTGCTCGATTTCGTTTTCGATTTCTGGGACTGTTATTTGCTAGACTGTGAGTCCCACCCACCCTCTCGCTTGGCTGCTTTGGGTGGAGTCCGCGCAGGATGTGAATAGAGGGGAGCAAAAAGTGAATTAATAGAACAGGCCCAGGAGCCGCCACTCCCTCCTTGGGTCCCTCCCCCTTTTCCTGTGTACAATGTATAGCTTCAGGGTACTAGTGAGGACTGGTTTCCTTCACCACCCAAGTCTCATTATCTCTTTCTGGTTCTTTCCACTTAAGCTTTAGGCACTTATAAAAGCTGTATAAACATTTTGGTTAGTTTCTTGGACTTATAATAAAAGAAACTGCCCATTAAATGCTATTGTTTGCGAACTGTTACCATTAATTCTCGGTTTTAAAGTAAGTTCTTTGATGTTTCTCGAATTGTGAGACCATCCCCTTCGCTTTTTCTGTAAAGAATACAAGATTGATACTTGGGAGAATCAAAACTCCTATCCTGTCCCAACAATAGCTACTTGTTTTTGGCTAGTCCATGAGATAATTTGGATATATAGGTGTTCTCTGCCGGTCTTAACTGACAGATCGTCTATAAATTCAAAAATTTAGTGCTCTGGGTGTTTTGCTATGGACAACTACTAACATGTATTTTGAGTTCCCAAGTGATTTCATTTGTTTTTGTAACTACCCACTAGGCATAGAATTCTTTTTCTTTTTAACAAAATTTTAAAAACTGGGGTCACAATATGATACCTTTATCAATCATAAATTGATATCTGGGGAGGTTTTCTAACTTCAATCCCCTTCTGCTGATATTTGAATTAACAATAAATTGCTTTGTTTGATTAAAACATTGAGAGACTAATTCTGTAAACAAACTAGACAAATTTCAAGAGTCCTTCCATTGTTGCTCTTCTGTACCTTGATTGGGTAGCCCGTGAGGGTTTGTGTGTGTCACCATCTATAATAATTAAAGTGGCCTGAAATGCAAAGCTGCCTCTTGCTTGTGATACAGTGAACCTAGCAGCTGTTGGGATTGGGCAGCAAACCTCTCAATGGAAAGTGAAGAATGCCATGTCTAATTGAAATTACAAAGGAAAATTGAATATGCAGTCTGCTTAGTGGGAATGAGAGTAACAGGCACATGCAGATCCTTTGTTGAGTCTCCACACTGGCCACTGTACTGGAGAGCTGCAGAATACTACGCTCTCCAGTTATTATAAAACGGCACTGTCGGAGTTCAATAGAAATGTAGTGATTGGGCTAAACTTTGTAACGTTCAGGCTACGCATAAATGAGGCCAAGAATTTACATCTTCCTAATCTACCAGAGATAGAAACAAGTTGCCTTTTCTCATTTTTGAACACACTTTTTGGGAGGAAAGACTGAAGCCAAGGAGGCCAGTTGAGGACCGTGATAATAATGTGAACAATTACTTAGTCACTGGCTGGATATCAAGAATTAAGGGAGAAGTCGAGGATAATTGGACTTTTTAACTGGGCAGCCATACTGTCTTCATAGTCAGACAATGTATGGAAGCTGGCTTATGGAGGAAATGTTGGAGGCATAGTATATGTACCTTCACTTTAAGAATACTATATTTTATTTTTAAGTTTTATTATGTGTATGAGTGTTTTGCCTGGATGTATTTTTGCACACGACACGTGTGCCTGGTACCTTTGTGTGGCGGTCAAAGAAAACTAGCAGGACCCAGTTCTCGCCTTCCCAAGGACTGACTCAGGTCATCAGGCTTAGCAGTTTACCTCCTGAGCCATCTCACCTGCCTGTTCACAGTAGTTTTTTTTTCCTTATATCTGCAGAGTATCAGCCAGGAACTGGTGGAGAGAAAACCTGGTTCTTTGCTACAGATGGATGAGACACACTAATTTCTGTCTGTAGCGATAAGTTTCTGTCAGTCACTTATGTGCTCCAGGTATATTTAAGATACCTCCTAAGAGTAGTCCTGTTTTACTTGTAGGCACCATTGTAGGATGAGATGAGAATCTAGAGAACTTTTAAAGGTTTGTTTGTGTTTATGTGAGCTATGTGTGTACAGTGGACATTCTCCATCACTCCATTTTCTTTCTGAGAGCCCTCCCTGGATGTTCTCTGCTAGGCTGAAAGCTAGCCAGCCTCGGTGATTCTCCTGTCTCCGCTTTCTTGGTGCTGGTTATATAGGTGTGATTTGGGTGCCGGGGTTACAGGTGTGCTAGGGATGCCTGGCTAGTAATGTGGGTGCCAGGGTTACAAGTGTGCTAGGGATGTCTGGCTAGTGATGTGAGTGCCGGGGTTACAGGTGTACTAGGGACGCCTGGCTAGTGATGTGGGTGCCGGGGTTACAGGTGTACTAGGGATGCCTGGCTAGTGATGTGGGTGCCGGGGTTACAGGTGTGCTAGGGACGCCTGGCTAGTGATGTGAGTGCCGGGGTTACAGGTGTGCTAGGGACACCTGGCTAGTGATGTGAGTGCCAGGGTTACAGGTGTGCTAGGGATGCCTGGCTAGTGATGTGGGTGCCGGGGTTACAGGTTTGCTAGGAATGCCTGGCTAGTGATGTGGGTGCTGGGGTTCAAGCTCCAGTTGTCAGGATTGTGCAGCAAGTGTTCTTAACTGTGGAACCATCTCTCCATCCCCTAGAGAAGACTACTGAACTATTTTCTCCATTGCTCATAACCAGTTTTTTTGTTCGTTCATCTGATTCTCCAGAGCATGTAGCTTTTCCTTCAGTGCAAGAATCAGATCTCACCTTTAGGATTCCATTCACATGAAATTTGAGTTTATGTATTTAAAGGTTAAATATTTTTGCCTGACTTTTAAAACATTGAGAGAGAGAGAGAGAGAGAGAGAGAGAGAGAGAGAGAGAAAGAGAGAGAGAGAGAGAGTTTTTGTTGCCATTTGTTTGTTTTAAATCCCAGTACTTGGGAGTCAGGCAGGCAAGTTAGAGTCTAGTATTTTCTACATAGCCAGTTCCAGGCCATCCAGGGAGGACTACAAAGTGAGACCCCCATTCAAAACACAAACAACACCACCATCACCAACAAAAACTATTGAGGTATAACTTGTACACCACAAAACTGACACATTTTGCATGCACCAGCTGTGCAATTGTCCCCACACGACATTCAGGCCATCCCCATCCCCTCCAAAGGTCCCTTGTGCTCACTTGCATTCATGCCACATTCTTGACCCTCAGATAACCACTTACCTATGTTTTGTCTTGATAATGTCTTTCCTGGACATTTTGTGTGATAATTACCTAACAATGATCTTTTAGCATAGTATTTGAGATTCTTTAGCTTGTCTCACTTTTTGCTAGTGAACAAAAATGTTACATTATATAGATGCATCACATTGCATGACCCTACTCAACTAATTAATGGACATTCAAGTTTTGATTATTATCAACAATGCTGCCTTAACATTTACAGTAATTCTTTTGCAAAATTAAATTTTATTTTTAATTATGTGTGTTGGGGGGATGTACACACATGTGTACAGGTGTCTGAAGTTGGGAGACCAGAAGCTTGGGTCTCTTGGAGTTACAGGCAATTGTGAGCTGCCTGACATGGGTGTTGGAAACCGAGCTCAGGTTCTCTGCAAGAGCAGTGTGCACTCTTAATCACTGAACTGTCTCTCCAGCCCAGGTAGTTCCTTATTTGGACATGCATTTCCATTCCTTTTGAGGAGATGAAAGGAATTGCTGGGTCTGGTGTTAGATGTGTGACTTTTAAAGGAAACCTGTTGCGTCACTGCCCAGAATAGGGATGTCATTTCATATTTCTGCAGCAATCGAAGGGTTTTTCTCATATAGCTAGCATTTGTTACTGTCTAATTACATCCCTTCTGGGGGGCATACAGCACACTTCACTGTGGTTTTAATTTACATTTCCCTAATGACTAATGGTGTTGAGTGTTTTTTTATACTTATTTTCCTTCTGTAAATTTTTGTGTACCTTCCAGATCCTTTTTGCATCTTTTAAAAAATTGAATTACCTTGCACACAAAGTTCTAAGGGTTCTTTATATATTCTGGATGTAAATTCTTTATTTTTG